TGCACACTTCTCTAATTTAGTTTTATTATATTTTTGTTTAAACTTCCACATACCTAAAAAAGTCGATTTTATCTACAAAGATAGATGTTTGAAGTTTTATTTTAAACTGATTAAAAGTAAAATTAAAAGATATAAGTGGTTCAAATAAAGGTTGAAACTTTGAAATATCAATTACTCAAATCATTGTATATTACATTTATCTGTTTTTACCAGTAAGCCGACGATATGCAATATTAAACATAAAACGACACTAATGTCACAACGCAACCTACTATGAATTATTTGTAACGTAACATACTACAATTTTTATTACTGATTAACATGTACTTTCAGTTTATAGCATACGATTTTTGATTTGTCACTTTGGTCGCAAAGGAGCGATGTACTAAAAGGGGGCCCTAGGATACATTTTTGTTAAACTGGTTGATAAAATCATTCGTTTATAACAAAAATACAATAAAACATTGGATTCCGTATATTAACGAACAAACGTTTACGCATTTTATGTAACATGTTTCTTCACAAAGAAACAAGCCGATTTTTTAGGCTCATACAATGTAAAAATGGAATAATCTATGCGAGTAGTCGCTAACTAGAAGTCAATTCTAGAGAGATTAATACATCAGAAGGCCAATTTCAGGGACAAAGAATGGATAACAAGTATGGGCGGATCGAAGAATCATGGTTACTTATTATTAACCCTTGGGCATTTTGCTCCTAACTCTGCGTTGCTCTAAATTGATGTTTAAGTATAAAGCGGAGATGTGGTTCAGGCGTGCAACCTTCAAACTGTAGTGTTAACAAACGTATATTGATGGTAGTAGTATATTATTATTATGTAGTATTATTATTGTAGACTTAGTAACTGTTTAGTATAAAAGAAGTAAATAGTACTAAAAATAACTATACCAAAGACCCGGCCATGATTTTGAGTTGGCTGCTATAAAAAATATAACTTCGGAAGATGGAAACAGAAAGAAAGCCGGCAGACTATTCTTGAAAGCATCTTCATCATAAACTGTACTCTGCTGTCTAGAATGGGTTTAATTACAACATTCTGTATTAGTAGGAAAATGAAGACAATTATTCAAATTTTAAATGTTATATATACAGTGCTTTAGATAAAACTATCTACCATAATAACTTTTGAACTTCTAATTTATTGAAAAAACGCAAGAACACGTCAATTAATATTTGAAGGGGAAGACATTATATCATATTTAAGGTTATTGCGAAATGCGAATTACCTTTCACCTTTTTTATTTTATATTTGGATTCTCCTTTTTGTACTAATTTCAAAAATGTAAATATCCTTGGTTTGAAGTGATTAGTTTATGAGATAAGACAATTTTTCCACCACAATAGACATTAGGAGAAAGTAGCAGAAATTAGGAGTAACAGGGTAAGTTTGCAATAAAAAACATAACCGACAGGGACTTGTAAATAACCCAGCAATCCAAGTAGCTATTCTAGGGCAAGTTAACTTAGAGGCTCAGAAATCACAGTCACTGTCAATAATAAGCAGAGCAATCGGAGTTTCATCTTCTACAGCCCACCGAGTCTTCCATAAATTTAAGTTTCATCCATATAAAATTAAATAAGTACAAGAGTTAAATGAAAAAGATTTTGATTTTCGTCTCGAATTTTGCGAACTAATGCGATCAACCACTTTGCAAGTGATGTACTTTGCAAGTGGTTGATCGCATAAGAACAATATTAGAAAATGATGATAACCATTCCGAAGATTTTGTTGTATTTCAACACGATGGAGCTCCTCTACACATTGCTTTTTATTTTGCGATAATCTTTAAACGAAACGTTTCCAGGTCGTTGGATAGGTAGAAGAGGACAGATGATGGATTGTCCACCTAGGTTACCGGATTTAACACCCCTACACTTCTTCTTATAGGGGTATTTAAAAACAAAAATTTTTTTCTACTCAACCAGAATCTCTAGATGATTTACGACAAAGAATAGAGGATGAATGTAGACAATTAAATGCAGACGTGTTAAGCAATGTCAGAGAATTCAAAATAGATTGTACTATTGTATTACAGAAAATGGCAGTAATATAGAACAATTATTGTAAACATTTTTGGTAGGGAAATATTCATTCGAATTGTTTGTAATAAAATTGTTAAAACATATTTTTTTTTAATCCAGTTCTCTTTCTTTTGTATTTATTTTTCTCATAAAGTAACCACTTCAAGCATCATGTGATATACATTTCTGAAGTCAGTACAAAGAGAAGAATCCACATATCAAATAAGAAAAGAGGGAAGTAATTTGAAAAAAAAAGGGATGATCCGACAGGTGAGGAGTTGCATCTCAGCAACCTTAAATATGATATAATATCTCCCCTTTCAAGTAACTTACTCAGGAACACAACAAAAAAGGATGTAAAAATTTAGACGAAGAAATAGTAAACACAATAACACACAAGCCCAAGAAAAGTTCGACCCCAAAAATGAAAAAGAAGAAAACATTAGTAGTGAAACGAAACAAACGTAACCAAACAACTCAATTTATTAAATTATGATACTATTAACAAATATTATTATTAATTATAATACATATTGAAGAGATATTTGATATCTTTCCAATATGTATCATAATTTAATAAATTAAGTTTTTTTCTTAAATGCACCATTGGCAGATATTTAAGATACGACCCTGAGTCACACCTGACACCTGAAGTACCTGCCAGATGTATTTAGGGTCAGATACCACTTTTTCATTCCATGTTAAACTTTTAAAAAATGCAGATAAATTGTGTGTAATGTTTAAATAATTAAGAGCTTATTGAAAATGGCAAATAGCCGAAACGTAAGTGTTTCATTTAGTAGACCAACAAATCTAGGAATTAAAAAAGGTTTATATATATATATATATATATATATATATATATATATATATAATTTCAGTCCAAATAAACTAATGAATCCTTTTATTACAAACTGTTCTTGTTTCACATATTTTGTTAAAAAGCGCTATATTTTGTTCGTTAATATACTAATTGGAAATTAATAAAATATATACACAAGAGTTAAAATTATAACAAAAAATCCAGTTTCACAATTATAAAAATAAAGGAAAAATTCATGTGAAAATGTCTAAATCAATAGTATGAATATTAGTCAAAGATATCACATATTTGTATAAAGTAAATTTTGGCACTCCTGTATCTGCTTGTCATGTGTACTTAAAATAAGAAGGTTGTTTTAAATAAGGAGTAAACATTTTGTGTTTTACCACTGTACTGTACCACTTTTATCACCGGAACGACTTTGAATCGAACTTACTGCAATGTCGCCTATTTTCCAATTTTTCAATCTAATACTTCTGCGCCGTTTTTACTAATAACACATCAAAAATATTGATGCAATTAATTGACTTGATATATTTTTAAAATTATTATTTAGTATAGGTTAAGGTAGCATTCCGGAAAGAGCGACCGAGGCAGGTGACAGATAGGCGAGACCTAGACAAGCAATATTCGCATAACGTGCGACTATACTTCAGTATATCGACAACAATCGGTCTCGCCTATTTGTCGCCTGTATCGGTAGCTTGTTGCATAATGGTACCTATAAATATGTTCCAACAAATTTTATTTCACTTTGTTTTTAAAGTTTACCAAGTTAAAAAAATAATAAATACTGTTAATCCTTTTCTTATGTTCCACATTCGTAAATTATAAGTAAAGCTAAATTATCAATAAATTTATTCTAGAAAAAAGTGGCAACCATGTCTTTAAATTATTTATTTTAGAAAGGTGGTTCTGAGATTTGCTGTCGAAAGCACTGACTTTCGGTAACTCGACAACTGTTAATTCTACTGAAAATGTATATTTCTATAACTATGGATAAAGTGACCTTGTGTGCCTAGCCTCCCAAAAAGTGAGATTTTCGACACCTCTGTCTTCTACAATTCAGTGTTTACCTGTCTTCCAAGTAGTAAAGCCAAATCTCCCACTGACTTGGGACGTAAATATTATCTACAAATGTTCATCACAACTAATATACGAGGATAGATTGATATTAAACTAGCCTTTGATAGATGGCGCTACTTGATACCGATTTGGTTTCGGTGTTGACATTTGCATTCATAAGATGACGTCTGTCAAAATTTTAAGTTTGAAAAACAATTAGTTTGGTTTTTACAGCCGTCAAAAGTAAGCAAATTTTGTGTTTTCGGAGAAAAATCGAGTATCGTTAGGTGATTAAGTTCCTCCACAAAAAGGGTAAACTGAATGTGCAAATGAAAGCTGACCTGGACGAAGTTTATGATGAGGTTGCACCATAAAAAAATGACTCGGAGGACGCCGTTTCGCAACAAATGATGAATTCGTCGCTGAAACTGCGGCATATTTTGAAGAGCTCGAGCAAAAGTACTATTCGGATAAAATAAAAAAATCGTCTTACTAAGTGTATCGAACTAAAAGGGGACTATGTTGAGAAATAAAACGATTTAATTCCAAAAATCTTGTTTTTTCTATCAAAGGCTAGTTTTATATCAATTCACCCTCGTATTGCAACCAGTGCAGAGGTGTCGCTCACTGGTTTAGATCGTTAAAGCTAAGCATTATTTACCAGCTATTCTCTCGTCGCCACGTTATTCAAGAATTATCTAGACGTTTGTATTTTAAGCAGTAAAGAAGTATTTCTTAATAAACGTTTTGTCAAGTGTGAGCTACAACAGTTCACGTAAAGCTCCAAAGTAAAACTCCAACCCTATTCTCCAGCTCAAGTGTTTATGTTTCGACAGACAGTAACATATTGTAAAGTGCAATATTGTTTTTTTTTTAATTTTAGTAACTTCAGGCATTAATAAACAACATTTTTCATTAAATTTCACAAGAAAGTCTGCATGGTGTGAAAAATATCAATGTTTAATATACATAAATCACTATAGTAACTGGATATCCTGTTATAAACAATAAATTAAACATTTATAAATAAATTCACGTTAAGAAAAACGAAATTAAAATTACCTAATAATTAATTATCAGATTTATCCGATAAATCTTCCTTGAGCCAGTTCGGAATATTACGATTTCCATTCTTCTTAAATAATTTCACTAGAGCCGTATTATGGCTTAGATAGTACCGTTGTAGGTACTTGTGAGATTTTTCCTCCATAGGAGGATATTGCCTGCCCTTACTGCGTCCTAGACATTTCGTGTGATCTCCGGTTACTACCTGACAGTAAAAACCTTTCTTTGGATCAAACCTTTAAAATGAAAAATATATTAATACTTATTTAAACAATAGTTTCATATTAAAATTAGATAATACCGATATATAAAGTTGGAACTCAAAGAAATTAATATTAATTATAATTATTATTATTATAATTATAATTTGGTCGTCAATCTATTGGTTACAATTTGTGTTAGGAGTTTATACATTACATTGAAGAGTGTTATAGGACGGTAGTTTTTTATATCTGCTTTATCCCCTTTCTTGTCTAGGATAATGGTTACTGACTCCTTCCTATTGTTAGGGGTTCTTTTTTCTTTTAATATCCTGTTAAAAAGGGAATGTAGATTATGAATTACCAATTTTCCACCATATTTGAGCATCTCTGCAGTTATTCCATATTTTCCAGGCAATTTGTTGTTTTTCATTTCTTTCAATGCCTTCTTTATTTCTGATTTGCTTATTTCTGGCTGTAGCTCTGAGTTGACATTTTTTTATTTTAGCCTCAAGTTGGTTTTTAATTTCTTCTGGTGGTTCCTTTTTTGTTTTATATAATTCTGAGTAGAAATGGTGAATTATATTTATGATGTCATCTTTAACGTTTGTTTCTACTTCATTTAGATCTTTTAATTTGTTTATTTCAAACTTACCTAATTTAGGGCTTAAGCATTTCATATTTTTGTTGTTCTGTATTACTTCTTCTATTTTTATTTCTTGTTCTTTTCTCTTATTTTCTTTTATCATTCTGCTTATTGTTTTATTGATTTCTACATATTCTATAATTTCCTTTTGCCTTCTTCGTTCAGCTTCCTTTTTTATCCATAAGCTTCTTTGTTTTGTTGATATATAGTTGTTCTTTTAATAGGTCTTTATATATCTCTTTATATTGCCCTAGTTTGTTTCTATCTACTAAATCCCAGTTTCTAATTATTTTTCTTTTCATTTCATAGTAATACTATTTTTTGCTCAGACCTTCCTGTGATCGCTACCTGTTGTGAATCTGGTAAGAACTGTTACATCTTTAATGATATATCGTTCTGTGGACAATATGTAGTCTATCTCATTTTTTGTGGATCCATTAGGGCTGATCCATGTCCATTTTCGTTGGGGCTTCTTTTTGTAAAAGAAGTTCAATGCATATAGATGCTTTTCTTCTAGGTAGTTCATCTATGTACCACCTCTATCATTTATCTGACCATATCCGAAATCTCCTATTTTAGTTTCTTCTTTGTTTAGTTTTCTACCAAGTTTGGCATTGAAATCTCTAATTAGTATACGACGATTTTTATGGTCTTCGATAGCCAGACAGGGTAGCCATGTAATAAATAATGTTGTGGGGTGGTAAACAATATGTTGTTAACTTAGTTACCCATTTATTAATCACTGCTTGTACAATCTTTAATGTTACTTAATCTTAAATATATCAGTACTTAATTGACGCTGACTATATGCGGCATTAACTTGCCATTTTGACGGTACATTAATTAAGATCCCTGAGAGAATGTTTGTTGGGGCTTTTATAGTAGTCCTTGCTATATCAGCAAATGTTTACTTATTAGTATGTCAAGTTTGTTCATGACCTACGCCAAGCATGTGGTGATCGGCAATAGTGCTGACTACCAATTCTAATTAGAGTATGTTATTTATGAATGTCCTCGATTCAAATTACTAAATATATTTATATAAATAAGATGCTAAATGTTACACGAGTATGAATTATAATATTTTATATATGTGAATTCTAATATTTAAGGAATAACACCACAGCCAGACAGGAGTTTTCTGACCCGGAAAACTAGTACCTGCTTAGGGTCCCTTGTCCGGAGTCACGCATGAAGACCACAATGGTGTCCACGGCGGAGAAGAACTTCTTCGGTACGGTGTGTATGGCGAAGTGGCACCCCAATTCTAGGGTTAGTATAAAATTAAATGTAGCGTCTGATCCAGAGTGTACGGCTACAAACAGCGTCTGACCCAGAATGGGCGGCTGATAACTCACTCACCACCAATCCGTCTGGAAAGCGTGGTGTTTTAACTGCCATTACCCCCACCCCCTTTTATCATGGTGAATAATAAAACAAAAGGAAATGATGCCTAGGTGGGTAAGAAAATTTCTGAATCCCACACCTCAAAGGTCTGCTTCACGGTACCTGGGGGAGGCAATAATTCGCTTTTGATAGATGAAAACAAAAACCTACTAAGATGAAACCGAATACTTTACAAAATTAACTCGAATCTAACAGTCCTTATGCTACACTTTCACACAACTCCCTGCACTTGCATTTCTCGTTCGTTAACTCTGGTGATAAGCTCTGCACATTGTGAGTAATTATAAACTCTTCATATTATGAGTGATTCTTATCAAGAGATACATAAATAACACATGCACAGTAAACGATCATAAACCGATCGAGATTGATAAAAAAAGATAGAAAAATTATCATTAGAGAATAAACATATCCAACAATGAGTACTAAGTGCTGTATAATAATGATGGTGATGCAATAAAATACCAAAAACTACACTGAACGTGAAACAATGTTATTGCCTAAAAGAGAAATGTTATACACTAAGATACTAGACAAAGATTAAATTGAAGATTAATCTTACTGATGTAAAAGTTATTTCAGCGCATAATAATGAATTTATCAAATTTATGTTCACTTACCGTAAATGCTCTGTGTAATTAAAAAAGGGCATTATTTTTAAGAATTTCTGAAGTTCATTCATCACTTCGACTGGGCTGTTTTTCAGTTCTTCTCCATCAATAATATGTAGAGACTGAGAAGGGAAATAAGTTAACCATCTTTCCAAATGCTGGGAGTATTTTCCTGGGTTTAAGCACCTACAACAAATGGACATATTGGGATTAAATAAATTTTTGTTTTATTTATTTATGTATTTGTTTATCAAAATAATTCTATGAGCGCTGTTAAAATTTGAGTGGTTTTTTTAATGCCATTTATTAAACATATAAAATTCCAAAATATTGGCTGCTATATACATTCGAAACATTACCCAAAGAAGCTGTTAGAATCTTTTTTATCATGTTCGATTCAGGGGCCCGGGCTAAATGTCCTGCCCACTGCAGGCGGTTTCGCTTAATTATAGTGGTAATATCTTTACCACCAAACGTATGCTTGTAGATATTCTGCAGTTCGAAGTTATATCTACGCCTCCATATTCCGTTCTCACAGACCGCTCCAAATATCTTGCGTAGCACCTTTCTTTCAAAAATGGATAGAGCGGATTCATCTGTTTTCGTTAGCATCCATGCCTCTGATCCGTATGTGAGAACGGGGACTATCAGTGTTCTATACAGCCTTATACGAGTTTTTTGAGACAGACGTTTGTTAGCTAGGTACTTTGATAGACCATAATAACACCTGTTTGCAATTATTATTCGCCTTTTTATTTCCTCAGATGTATTATTATTGGGGTTAACCGATGTCCCTAGATATATGAACTCATTGACTGCTTCGAAAGTTTGGTCATTGATGATTAAATTTGTGTCAACATTTCCAGCAACATTTGTGTTTGTGTTAGTCGCCATGAATTTGGTTTTATTTTGATTTATATGTAACCCCATTCGTTCTGCTGCTGCTACTAGCTCGGTTAGGATTTCCGCAGTTCTCGCCCTAGTTCTTGTTATAATGTCCACGTCGTCTGCATATGCTAGAATTTGGACTGATCTATTAAATATTGTTCCCCTGCTATCTAAATTAGCGTCTCGTACAACTTTTTCTAAGGCGACATTAAAAAGCTGACACGCCAGCGCATCTCCCTGCCTTAACCCCCTATGTATTTGAAATGGGGTTGACGAGTCGTTTTGAATTTTTACTGCTGATAGCATCTTCGCCATTGTCACTTTTATCAAACATATGAGTTTTTTTGGAATTCCTAACTCATTCATAGCGTTATAAAGACTTGGTCTTAAGACACTGTCATATGCCGCTTTAAAATCGACAAAAATATGATATATATCTATGTTAAACTCTTGCGCTTTTTCGAGGATCTGTCGTAGTGTAAAGATCTGGTTAATGGTTGAACGTCCAGGCCTGAATCCTGCCTGATATTCCCCTAGAAACATTTCAGTATAAGGCTTTAATCTCTCGAGCACTAAACATGAAATACAGCGCAAAAGACCAAACGAGAGGCTACAAAAAATACGACAGAGTGAAGTTTTGCATAAGCGTCAAATCTAATGGACGTCAGAATGTTGGAGGTAGATATTACAACGGATCAACGATCTAGGCTAGGCTGTAGTATCATGGAAAGAACGCGAATAAGAGGAAATGTTATAGTTATTTCTTTCTGCCATTCCAAATAAATACATGACAACAAACAAACAAATCTTCAACTTATGAATATGTTCATAAACTGTAAACTTTCTATTTTAATGATATCTAGTTAAAATTTGCAAAGTAACTACTTAAATGAATCCATGTCATAACTTGCGTGGTAACGTGCCTAAAAATTGGTGTTGTGTAATAATTTTTGAACTTATAAGGCACAAAATAACTACGTTAAATGATTAACCATCCAAAAACTTATATTTTAAACAAATATTCATTATCCATACTGCTGTAATTTTTAAATTAACTGTACCTAAAGATAAAATTACAATTAAAAACTGCAAACTAGGGATTTTGTTGATATTACCGTAATTAAAAAGTTGCCATTTTGATAATGAGAAATTAGTTCAGCTATAACTTAATAGATGAGAAAATAATTTCAGGCAGCAGTGATGTATTAAATGACGACAGATGCGTGTATGTCCGCATTTAAGAAAAATCTGCAAAACGTTGAAAACTAGTTTTATGGTTATGCCAATTACCTATGGGTTATGTCGTAAACATGATGCATACCATTTTTGTCCTGGCACCATGGCGTTATATATAAACGGTTCAAAGTCAAACTGTAGTCAGTCAAGTTTACTGGGGGATTATACTGGTTTTTACATACTTAACCACCAGAAATGGTTTTGAGCTACTTAAAGCAGTATATTAATGAAAAATTGAGTCGATTAAAACTCATCTATTTTAACGTGGCTGGTGATAAGCTTCTACTCGTTACCCATACACGAGAACATTGCTTAGACCGTTGGCGCAAATACAATGTCCTCCAACGGCCACGCTACAATGAGTAAGCTGTATTTAACGTTGTAAATTTAATCAATCTCTGCAGCTGGTCATTATGGTAATGCACTGGTGCGCCATTAAATTGTTTGGAAGAAAGACTGGGTCTATTACGTTATTATCCACAATTCCTAACCAAGCATTGACTTTAAAATTGCTTTGATGATGAGACTTTTTTGCGTGGGGGTTTTCTGAGGCCCAGATATGCGTGTTATGAGGGTTCGTAATACCATTTCTGCTAAAAGTAGCTTTGTTGGTAAACAAAACATAATTAATAAAATTGACATTTTGTGTTAGTGTGTTAGTGTTTTCCGTTAAAAACCAATCATGAAACTCCAATTTTTTAGGATAATCTTTATCCAGTAATTCTTAAACGGGTGTAAAGTGCTAAGAATGAAACAGCTGTTCCTTGAATCTTCTCCAAATCATCATATGAGAAATATCTAATTGAGCCGCTACTAGTCTTGTATTGCTTCCAGGGATTTTTTCAATTGCTTCCAAAATCTCTTCATCGTTTGTATCTACTTTTGGTCCACCATTATTACCAACAAGTTGCGGTCGAACGTGCTTGTCTCTGGTAAACAACGAACAATGGAAAGAAATAATCGTATGTCTGGTGTATTTCCAATAGGATATTTTTCTGCATAACGCCTTGGCGCTGCTGCACTATTCACTTGGCATAAAAAAGGCTAATTTAGCCTGCTCAAACTTACCCAGAACTAAATAAATATCTGTCATTTCTGAAAACGTGCACATCATTGTAATAGAAAATTTAGTTTTTCTTAATAATCTTAAATGCAAAATAATTGGAATATTTATTATTGACAATATGTATTGTTGATATTACTATTTAATACATAGTAACTACAGCAATAAGTGTTATACAGACGACAAGAGAATTTTTAAAACGGAGTAAAAAAAGTAGCCCCATCTAGATAAAAACTGGTTTATCGAAAAAGTACTAAGAGGCAAAAAAGTTTTAAAAATATTATGTATAACTAATGGTACCACAATAATAATTTAATTGGAACGTATACAAACATTTACGGGGTTTAAGGGAACAAAACCCCCATAAAAATTTTATGGTGTGTACAAATCTCACTGTTATTTTTTAAGATATTCCTGCCTATAAAAGCCACATGCACATTTTCTCCAGCAGTTTTCGATATATTGAAAGAAAAAAATCTATTTTCATTTTCTAACAAAGGGTTGTAATTTTTTTTATGTGCAAATTTGTACTAAGGTACGTTAGGTTCAATTGAACTATTTTTGGTCCCAGAATACGCGATTTAATTTATGACCTGCCTTTTTGTTACACCCTGTATAATATGTAGATAGATAGGGAAATTTATACATATATATCTTCCAACATACCTATTTCTTAGATCTCTTAGCGGTTTCGGAGCTGTATCACTGGCTGTTATCACTTGATGAAAGCTGTAATTATTCGCTATAATATCACCGTGGGCTTTGGTATGTTGATACCAAGAGTATGCCCGTTTGGCAGGAGAAATCAATATGGTTATTAGTTTAGCATGTGGTAGCAAAGCGTGCACCCTTCTTGGTACCAATTCGCCGTCAAAGTAAGTAGCACTTTTTTCGAAGTAGTACCTTGCCGATGAATTGGCGTCAGTAGGAAAGAAATCCATGTACCTGAAAAAAATCCAATTTAAAGGATTAATATACACTCAGAGTAAAGAAAATTATTTGAAATTACGATATTATGGAGAAAAAAAAAATACAAGGTTAACAGAAAAACTTATTTTGACCATTTTTTATGTATTAAATCTTAATTACTACTACTATCAAGCTCTACTTACCAATCCAAGCCCCTAAGGTAATTATGAGCATTGAAAAATTGTATCTCTTCAAAAGTTGTAGGACTAGGTAAGTTACTAGCTATGGCCGGATGTAATGACAAAAACGTGTATAGCGCCGTAGTTCCAGTCTTTTGAGGACCGATTACCAAGAATTTGGGAAGGGAGTCACACGATTTGTTTCGAGACCAAATCTTCTGATGCCTTGGATCATCACAAGGATTCTAAAATGTAGTTATTATTTATATGACAGAGTTAAAATAATTAAAATATTCGTATAATAAAATTTTACAAAATTAATTAGTATGCAACTTAAAAGAGTGAATTAATTACTATTTAACTGGGAATAAGCCACAATTAAAGATAAAAATACGTTTATTGACGTTTCAATTTCCACTTCGGAAATCGTTCTCAAAATACAAACAGTAACTTATTCCCAGTTAAATAGTAATTAATTTAAAATGTCACAAGAAAATAGCTTCAGAACAATATTAAAAGAGTGAACTTGTTCTTAAATTGCTTCTAGCATAATCCAGACACGAAATACGTCTATCTATACAGCCCTTAACATCCATCCTTGGATATAGGCCTCCTCCTCCTTCTTCCATGCCTCTCTATCTTGGGCAATTTGCATCCATTTTGACCCGGCGTGTTTCTTCAGGTCATCTGACCATCGCATTTGTGGCCTTCCCCTTTTACGTTTGTGATTCCATGGTCTCCAATGTATAATTGTTTTAGTCCATCTTTCATCTTTCTGCCTTAGGGTGTGTCCGGCGAACTTCCATTTAAGCTTTGCTACTTGGGTTGAGAAATCTTTCACTTTTGTTTTATTACGGATCCATTCGTTTCTTTTTTTGTCTGATAGTTTAATGTTCAGCATTTGTCTTTCCATGGATCTTTCTGTCTTTGCTATTTTTTCCATATTTTCCTTTGTAAACGTCCATGTCTGAGAGCCATATGTGAGGACAGGGAGTATACATTGATTGAAGACTCTCGTTTTTAAGTATTGGGGGTATTTTGAATTCTTTAGAATATAAGACAGTTTTTCGAATGATGCCCAGGCCAATCTTATTCTTCTCTTTATTTCTTCGGTCTGATTCTCTTTATTTAATTTAGTGATTTGGCCTAGATATATATCCTCTTTTACTTGTTCTATTTTTGTTTGTGCCACTGTAATTATAAGTTCTTCTGGTTGATTAGTCATGGTTTTTGTTTTACTATAATTCATCTTGAGTCCAATTTTTGTCGATTCTCTATCTAGTTATTCCATCATTCTTTGTAATTCTTGACTTTTTTCTGTTATTAATACAATATCATCAGCATATCGTAAATGATTCAGATTTTGCCCGTTTATATTAATTCCCAAGTCATCCCAGTGTAGTCGTTTAAAAACATCTTCTAGCGCTTGGTTAAATAACTTGGGCGAGATGGTATCTCCTTGTCTTACTCCTCGGTTTATTTTAATAGGCTCCATTTGTTTCATTAGCTTAATAGTTGTTGTTGCCTTGTTATATATATATTTGTAATTAAGTCGGTATATCGGTAGTCTATTCTGCTGTTTTGTAGGGAATTCTGTACTGCCCAGTGTTCCACACTATCAAATGCCTTCTCAAAGTCAATAAATGCCATGTATAGCGGGATATGATATTCGTTGGTTTTTTCGATTAAAATCTTCATCGTTAAAAGGTGGTGACTTGTACTGAAGCTCTTTCTAAATCCGGTTTGTTCTCTTGCCTGGTATCCATCTAATTTAGTTGTTAATCTATTTGTTAATATTTTGGTTAATAGTTTGTACATCACATTTAATAAAGTTATGGGTCTGTAATTACTTAGATCCTTTTTATCTCCTTTCTTAAATAGAACAGTGTTATTGCTTCGTTCCAACTGTTGGGTATTTGTTTTGTCATTAAAATTTTATTCATAAGTATGTACAAAACTTCTCTAGTTGTTTTCCCACCATGTTTTAGCATTTCTACAGTCACCCCGTCTTTTCCTGGCGATTTATTGTTCTTCATCTCTTTGAGTGCTCTTCTTATCTCGTTCTTACTGATCTCTGGTTGTAAGTCGGAATTAACATTTTTTATTTTTATTTGTAGTTGCTTAAGGATTTCTTGGGTTGGTTTCTGTTGTGTATTGTAGAGGTTTTTATAATATACTTGTGTTATCTGCATAATTTCTTCTACATTATTGGTCTCTGTACCTTCTTTGTTCTTTATGCTATTAATTTGTATGGTTCCAAGCTGTGGTTTTATACTACCAAGCATGAAATACGTACTACTTTTAATTTCGCCATAAAAAAAGTAAACCTGAATAATACAGTTCAAATGAAGCAGCCGCGTTGATAAAAGGAAAAGCTGGAGCGCCGTATAAAAGAAAAGTTTAAGGAAAATTCTACATGAAAAATAAGGAGATATCTACAACACTGAAGTAATGAATTTATATGGAAAACTTGCAATGGTCCAAGTAAACAAGCAACGGGATTAAGATAGCTAGGACATTTAGAAAGAATAAATGAAGAATGGGTACCAAAGAAATTGTGGCAAACAGAGTTGGTAAGTGAAAGAAATGTAGGACATCCTAAAAGAAGATAGCTCGAGGAAGTGAAGAAGAAAAACAGATATTACTTCAAAACTGGTGTTTAAGACGAAGCAACGAGTAACCACCACCAAGTATACCTTAAATTAGCAACCATTATTGTTTATTAATTCAGTAATCAATTCACCCTAAATTGGCAATAATACATTCTACACTTATTAAAAGATAGACGAAAACGTAGATAGCAGAGGAAAACGAAATGAATCTCTTGATGACAGTTATCGAAAACCCACACACAAATAAAATGAGTCTTCCCAAAAAAACAGTAATTTGTTAACTTTTACCTTATTCAAATGCACCAAGATTTAAATGATAATAATATTCAGAAACGAATATTACTTAATATTTATACCACGTAGTAACACATAGTAACACATGTAAGGGTAGCGAGTAGATACTCTTTTACGTTCCCGGTGGAAGATAGATCTACTTCAGGGATGCGACCCTGCCCACGTGAGCCATAATTATCTCCCAATCTCCTGGTATCTGGGAGAAATTATGTCCTGCACCCATTCTCCCATCTAATTACCAAAGTTTCCATTCCTATATCCTACTCTGTCAGACAGTAGCATCAGTACCAAGATATAGCGTAAGGGAAATGATCCTGGATCGGTATATTATTGGATACTAGAGCTGCTAAATTAACCGAACGATTACCGGTATAAGTAATCCCCCACCTGTTGGTCAACAGCTAAGGGTGGAAGAACCGACACGTGGTAGGGCACTTCATTGCCCTGGAGCATAGAAATTAACTCCGAAGGCAGAAGAACTAAATTAGTCAACGGCATTCAGATGTGGAAAGCCAGGGGATGACTACCACATTAAAGATCCGTAAGGATATACTTAGTAAAAATCATCATGGACCCACTAATGGATAATTTACTTAATGATCATGGAGCTCGGAATCCAAGATCCGGCAGGGGAGGACAATCAGATTTAGACGACAGGGCCTCTCAGGTCGTCAACAAGGTAAATCCCTGTCAAGCAAATAACTCTATAGCCTTGAAAATCGGAACATGGAACGTAAGAAGTTTATACCAATCAGGCAAACTGGATAATGCTGTGTCGGAAATGTGCAGAATGAAAATTAATATACTGGGCCTTAGCGATATACAATGGCCTGAATCAGGAAAATGTAAGACCAGAAATGGAACGATGTATTATTCTGGAAACAACGATTCCAAGCACAAACGGGGAGTTGGCATTATAGTTGATAATAATTCTCATAAAGCTGTCTGTAACTTTGTTCCCTACTCTGATCGAGTATTAGTGCTGTCTCTAAACTCTCATTTAAAACGTAAAATAAATATAATCCAAGTATATGCACCCACTGCAGACAAGGATGAAGACACCATAGAGGCCTTCTATGAACAAATCGACAATGTCTTAAGACTAACTAAAAGACAAGATATAAATATTATAATGGGCGATTTGAACGCTAAAGTTGGCCAAGGAGAAGCGGAGAATTGCGTGGGGCGATATGGACTCGGAGAAAGGAATGAACGTGGCGATAGGCTTGTCGATTTCTGTGTCAATGAGGAACTCATAATTACAAATACCTTGTTCAAACTTCCTAAACGTAGACTATATACATGGAGGTCACCAGCTGACAATAACAACAAAATAGTCAGAAATCAAATAGATTATATTATCGTCAACAGAAGATATAGAAATTCTATAATATCATCTAAAACTTATCCAGGAGCGGATATATCCTCCGACCACAACCCGGTTGTTTTGTCAATGAGAGTGAAATTAAAGAAGGTCAACAGCCCTAGCACCAAGAAAATCATAGATACAAGACGTCTTAAACAAGACAACACATATGTGGAAATCAAATTTAAAATAAACGAGAGCTTAAGGAAAGTCAAAGAAGATAATGCAGAAAACTCTAACTATTGACCAAAAATGGGGAAAAATTCAACATGCCCTTGTGTCAGTTGGAAAAGAAACCCTCAAACCACTTAAAGAAAAAACAAAACCTTGGATGACAGTAGAAATTCTTGAACTCATGGAAGAACGAAGAAAACATAAAGCAAAAGACCTGGATAAATACAAAGAAATTCAGAGAAACATCAGAAAGAAAATTCGAGAGGCAAAAGAGAGGTGGCTATCCGATAGATGCAAGGAAATAGAAGATCTGGATAAAAAGTACGATAGCTTTAACTTACACAAAAAAATCAAAGAAATGACAGGTTCTAGAAAGCGTACAAAAACGAATATCCTTAAAAATGATAAAGGGGATATTATTACTGATATGAAGGAGAGATTAGGTCACTGGACCAATTACATTCAACAACTATTTAATGATGAAAGAGAAGAACTGTCATTAGAAATCACCGAGGATACTGGACCACCAATATTAAGAGAAGAAGTCATCTATGCCATCAAAAACACAAAAGAGGGTAAAGCTACTGGACCAGATGAGGTGCCCATCGAATTATTAAAACTCATCGATGAAGATGTTATTGATGTAATGGTTGAACTCTTTAATCTAATATATCAGACTTCCACAATCCCCAGACAATGGCTGCAATCAACCTTTGTAGCAATTCCCAAAAAACCAAGTTCAACAACTTGCTCAGACCACAGAACAATAGCTTTAATGAGTCACACACTTAAAACATTT